ACTCTTTAAGAACTAATTACATGTTTTGATATTCTTATATGAAGTCCTATTGGTAGATTTTTTATTTTTAAATTTTTATTTATTTATTGCCTCCTTATATATGCAAAGCAAGTTCTGTGTTTAAAACCAAGTAGTTGGCTCAAGAAGTAAAATGTGGCAGGCCGTGGGCTATAAATTGAGCCAGGTAGCTCGGTTTGGCTTGAGTTCAACTTGGAGCAAATGTGCTCAGGATCAAATTAGTTACATGAGCATGGTAAAGCTGTATTTAAAATAATAAGAATTAAAGTCACTGGCTGTATATGTAGAAGTAGAACAGTAGAAATATATAAAAAGAAGAGAAAGGAGAGAATTGCGTGAAGGCTTGAATGATTTTAATTACTCATTCACAGCTAGAGTATTTATAGATAAAATGAGCACATGCTTATATTGCAAAAAAGGAAACTAAATCAAATCACAACTTATTCTAAAGCATATTCTATGGCATATTCTATAGCATAGTCAAATCTCTACTATTATGGTAAGTCATACCATAAATCGTGGTATCATATATGCTAACATATGCATAGTCAAATCTCTACTATTATGGTAAGTCATACGGTATCATATATGCTAACACTCCCCCTCAAGTTGGTGCGTAGATATCTGAAACGCCTAACTTGGACAATGCATTCTCAAACGCAATCTTGCTGACGCCCTTTGTAAGAATGTCTGCAAGCTGCTGAGAGCTTGTGACAAATGGAGTGCAAATTTGACCAGAGATGATCTTCTCTCGAATGAAGTGACGGTCCACCTCTACATGCTTAGTCCTGTCATGCTGAACAGGATTTGCTGCTATGCTAATGACAGACTTGTTGTCGCAGTTGAGTGAGAATGGAAGCGACATTGGAAGGCACAAGTCTGTCATCAAGGTTTTCAGCCAAAGCAACTCACCTACCCCAAGAGCCATAGCCCTATACTCTGCATCTGCACTAGATCGAGAGACAGCATCATGCTTCTTACTGCGCCAAGTAACCAAGTTACCACCAATAGTGGTACAATAACCTGAAGTAGACCTCCTAACTGAAATTGATTCTGCATAATCAGTATCTGTCCAAGCCTCAACACATAAGTGACCATGATTGGCAAACAAAATACCACGGCCTGGACACCCTTTTAAGTAGCGAAGGATCCGAATAGCTGCATCAAGGTGAGGGGCACGAGGAGAGTGCATGAATTGACTCACGACACTCACGGCATAAGCAATGTCAGGTCGAGTCATGGATAAATAGATGAGCTTCTCCACAAGTTGTTGATACTGACCAATATCTGACAACAACTCCCCCTCAGAATCAGCAAACCGATGATTCTGCTCAATCGGAGTATCAGCAGGACGAGCGCCAAGTTGACCAGAAGCAGAAAGCAAGTCAAGAACATACTTGCGCTGAGAGATGAAAATGCCAGTCTTGGAGCGAGCCACCTCAATGCCCAAGAAGTACCGTAGGGGACCAAGATCTTTAATCTCAAACTGACGGCCAAGATAGCTCTTAACCTCATCAATTCCGGTAGTATCATCGCCGGTAAGAACAATATCATCGACATACACAATAAGAGCAACTGTCTTACCACCTAAATGACGTAAAAACAAGGTATGATCAGCTGCACTTTGATGGAAACCAAACTTGAGCATAGCAGTGCCAAAGCGATTAGACCAAGCTCGAGGAGACTGCTTGAGGCCATACAGAGAACAACGAAGACGACATACCATACCAGAATAAGCAGGAGAACGAAAGCCCGGAGGAGGAACCATGTACACCTCCTCCTGCAAATCACCATTGAGAAAGACATTCTTGACATCTAACTGAAATAGAGGCCAAGATCGAATTGTAGCAACGGAAAATAATACACGGATGGTATTCATCTTGGCAACAGGGGCAAAAGTCTCCTGATAATCTATGCCATAAGTCTGAGCATAACCCTTGGCAACCAATCGGGCCTTGTAACGAGCAACTGACCCATCTGGATTATGCTTAACTGTAAACACCCAATGACAACCCACAGCCTTTCGTCCAATAGGAAGCGGACCCATGTCCCAAGTCTGATTTTTCTCAAGTGCTTGTAGTTCTTCTGTCATAGCATCACGCCATTGAGGTTGTGCTAGTGCATCTGCAATACTAGAAGGAATAGGAACCGAGGCAACAGAAACAAGAAAACTCCGATAGGAGGGTGAGAGAGCATAATCAGAAACAAAATTAAAAATAGGGTAAGTACAAGAACGTTTACCCTTTCGAAGAGCAATGGGGCGATCGTCAAGCGAAACAATAGCTTGAGAAGGCGGAGCTGGTGCCGAAGGAACAGGGCAGTCGATCATGGGAGTAGAAGCTTGTACTTGTTGTCTCCGACTACAAACCTGTAAAAAAGGAACAATTCCCCCTACTGGAGGGGTATCACGAGGAGGAATCATAGAAGAAGAAACAGGTAATGGTAAAGGAGTTGAAGACGGAAGAAGGTGATCATCCATTATATTCAATGGGAACCATTCACTCTGAGAACCAACTGAACCACTATAGTATGGTGTATGTTCAAAGAAAGAAACATACATGGATATAAACCGCTGACGACTGGGAGGATGGTAGCACCTATAACCTTTTTGAGAGTGAGAATAGTCCAAAAACACACACTTCAAAGCCTTGGGGTCAAGCTTTGTACGAGTCTGCCCCAACTGCTGAACAAAGCACACACACTCGAAGACTCGCGGAGGAATAAAAAAAAGAGATGAATTGGGATGTAAGATTGAGAGTGGGGATGCAAAGTTAAGAATTCTAGAAGGAGTCCTATTAATAATGTAAACAGCGGTAAAAACTGCATCTCCCCAAAATGACTGGGGAACATTCATGCCAATGTAGATTGCTCTGGCTAAGTCAAGGATGTGGCGATTCTTTCTCTCAGAACGACCATTCTGTTGAGGAGTTTTAACATTAGCCATCTGATGCTCAATCCTAAATTCTGTACATAACCGTTGTACCTCCCCATAAGTGTACTCTGTACCCTGGTCAGACCGGAATTTTTTAATGGTACGACCATATTGAGTCTGAACCATTGTCATAAAATTTTTAAAAATGGTGTATACCTCATTTTTGGTTTTCATAAGATAAACCCAAGTAACACGACTATGATCATCAATGAACAACACGAAATATCGAAATCCAAGACTAGAAGTAACTGGGCAAGAACCCCACATATCTGAATGAACAAGATCAAAAGGTGTTAAAGCAGATTTATTACTACTAGCAGGATAATTGGAACGAACATGTTTAGCCATATGACATGTTTCACAGGATAAATCTAACACTGCCACGTTACAAAATAAGGAAGGAAATAAATGCTTCAAATAACCAAAAGAAATATCCTAAACGCATGTGCCAACGCATAAGCTGGGCTTTATTAGATGAAACAATATTAAAAAATGAAGCTGAATGTGCTTGAGGTGACAAAGGAGCATCCAACAGGCATAAACCGTCCACTTCACGCCCACTGCCAATCGTCCGTTTCGACACCAAATCCTAAAAAATACAATGAGAGGGAAAGAACGTTACACTACAATTTAATTGTTTGGTAACGCTACTAATAGAAATAAGATTTGTAGTCAACTTTGGAACATGAAGTGTATTTGATAAAGTTAGTGAAGGAGTAACTGATATGTGACCCTTCCCAGCAATGGAAGATGGAGAGCCATCCGCAAGGCGGACCTTGCGTTATCACACGATGTCACAAACAGCCTAAAGGTAGCGGTCGCACAAGTAGCAAGGCTGCTGAAAGGTGTGGAAAGGTGTTGGCTCTGATACCAAGTAGAAATATATAAAAAGAAGAGAAATGAAAGAATTACGTAAAGGCTTGAATGATTTTAATTACTCATTCACAGCTTTAGTATTTATAGATAAAATGAGCACATGCTCATATTATAAAAAAGGAAACTAAATCAAATCACAACTTATTCTAAAGCATATTCTATTGCATATTCTATAGCATAGTCAAATATTTGCTATTATGGTAAGTCATACCATAAATCGTGGTATCATATATGTTGACATATGCATAGTCAAATCCCTGCTATTATGGTAAGTCATACCATAAATCGTGGTATCATATATGCTAACAAGAACAGACCCTTTTTTACTATCTACAGTCAGATTTTTCATCAGCTGTGAATATTGTGGCTAATAAGAATTTAAAGTTTTAGACATGACACGTGTTGAGCTAACAACAAAATAATTTTATGTTTCAGTGTTGAATTTTATGTTTCAGTGTACCTCACTGGGCTTATTCTACTAATTTTGTGGATCAAATCATATAAGCTGTACATTATCATTTTTTGATGTGACATGTCCAAATCTTTCGATGAAGTAACAGTCATTATGGAATGATGTCACTTCGCCCACCTCTTTCCTTTAAAACTAAATTTTCCTTCCTTTTATGCGAGAAAAATCGATTTCACCCTGCACCTTTTATGCAATGACTTGAACATGATATGTATTGGTCTGATGACCTGTCCCCCAATCTTGATTTTTTGTTGAAAAGTGAACCGAACTTGAACTTAGATGGGTTGATTTTTAATATGCTTGAGCGGTGCTCAAAAATATAGTTACTAGGCTTATTTTCAGCCCTCGGAAAGTCAGGAATATTTTTTTTATGAGATTGAGAAGATCATACCTTGCTCAAGATATCGTGAAATAATTATTAAAAACTGTGAAGAAATTAACGATTTTTACCGAGTTTATGTTGGTTTGATTTTCTACAAAATTATGGTATTTCCCTTGATAAATTGGTAAAACAAGATCCACCATTCTCTATCCAAATATATAGTTGAGATTTTTATTTCCAAGGGTATTTGAAATTGAATAATGAGTTGGCATTGTAGTCTTTTTTCCACATGATCTCTTATCTATGTAATTATGTTTCTAAAGTACCTCCTCATTTCCTTCTCTTTTCTGTCTTATTATGTTACTTTATATTTGTCTATACAGGACATCTGCTGAAGAAGCAATACAAAGGATGCAGGGAACCGTGATTGGTCAACAAGCTGTTCGCCTTTCTTGGGGCCGGAGCCCAACGGCTAAACAGGTGAATTTTCCTAATGGACTGCTGAATTTTATAATGTGCTCACTCTAGGAACTAAAGCATTTTTTTTTGTTGGTATATTGCATTAAGCTACTTCAAAGCCAGGAAGTTTGTAGAAAGTAAAAATCTGAAATTTGACATGAAATGGTGTTAATTTAGCTATCAGTGTCTTAGCTCTTGGAAGACATGCATTATGAGATTGCAGTTCCATTTACTAACATCACAACTAAGGTCCCAGTGCTTTTCAGAAATGAAACATATTTACAAATTCATGATCTGCAATTGTCACATACTTTTATTTGACCATAGGTTACTGGGTATAATTATAGTTGAAAGAATGTCTTTGGTTATCCTTTCAATATAATGATCACTTTGCCTCAATTTGTCTTGCATTAAATATTTAGTTTGTACCTGTTATATTGTAGGATGTATCTGGTGTCTGGGGTCAGCAAGCAGATCCAAGTCAATGGAGCAGCGCCTATTATGGTTATGGACAAGGTTATGATGCCTATACTTATGGGGCTACTCAAGATCCTTCATTATATGCATATGGTGCATATGCTGGTTACTTACAGTACCCCCAGCAGGTATGATACTTTTAACATTGCTTTTGCATGTTTTGAAATTAATAGAAGGGTTGTTTCTTGAAATATTAGTGTAGGGATGGTCAAATAGTTGTGTACTCCTTTGTTTCTAGTATCTTCTCAGTTGTAGAACAACTACTAGTGAACATATCATATATTACTAATTATTGATTATGTTCATATTTTTACTGTGAATAAATTTTCACAGTAGTTAGAAATACTTAACTCATATGGGATTGGGATTACATAAAATATTTTGTTATAACTTTTAGTCTTTCACATCCCATTCTTTATTTTTTCCATCATTTTCTTTCTCCTGATAGGCAAGAGATTTTCATTATTGAAAGAAGAAGTTGCAAGAATAAACTCAGAGAGAAACTTTTCTCTTTCTTTTAATAAAGTTTACTTATTCTTACATTTTCTTTCTTTTTTGTTAACAACCATCTACTCCAAAAGTTTAAGCTATTAGAGAAGGTATAATTTTAATATTTAAATCTTTCAACACGTCTCCTCGCATGTGGCCTTCTTTTGGTCCAACACGTGTTTCAATTCTAATTATTGAGGTGATGGTGAGGTTTGAACATAGTACCTTGCCTGATCTGATAACATGTTGAAGAGATAAAAATTGAAGATAGAACTTAAACATGAACAACACAAGGATATAACATGGTTTGGCCACTGCGGCCTATATCCACAACACACAAAGCCCAAAGGGCTACATCACTTTCATTATATTTTTTCTTAATTTTTGTATACAATGATCACCTCTATTAATATGTGAAAGAATACAAAATATAGGAAAGATTCCTAAAATCACTCTCATGATTTACTCACATCAATATTCTGTCAAGGATTCGCTTCATCATTCAAAACAAATATTCTGTCAAGGAGTGATTTAAGGGCTTTAATCACTCTTATACTGGTATTCTCTAACACCCTCCCTCAAGTTGGTACACGGAAATTTTTTCTCTAGTGTCTAACTTGAAACTAAATACGGAGTTGTCGAGAGTTGGAGACGAGTAGATCCAAGACGAGTTGATCCGGAGATCCAAGACGAGTTGATCCGGAGATCCGAGACGAGTTAATCTAGAGAATTAAGATGAGTTGATTCGGGGATTCTAGACGAGTTGATCTAAAGATCCGAGACGAGTAAAGTATAGAGTAGGGTATGATAAACCTGCTTTCATTCAATGTTAACAGCCATCTACTCTAAAAGCTTAAGTTGTTAGAGACTGTATAACTTTAATATTTAAATCCTTCTACATTTTTTGTTTTTGATAAACCAGAAAAGTTCTTGTACTCACTGAAAAAAATATAAGAAAGAAAAAGGAATGAAAAAGCAGTGTCCTCTTGGTTTCTGTTGATGTGAGACTGAAATCTTGAAATTTTTTATGGGGTTTGATTTCTGAAAATTATCAAGGATATCAAGGTTCTTTAACCTCTCCTGACATTTTTATTCTTCTTCTTGTTAACGGTAAGGTTGCTCCATTGTTAACTGGAGGTCACGAGTTCAAAACAAGGAAACAGCCTCTCCGCATGCGAAGGTAAGGCTGTGTACATCTAACCCTCCCCAAACCCCACAGTGGCGGGAGCCTGGTGCACTGGGTTTGCCCTTTGCCCTCTGCCCTCTGCCCTCTGCCCTTTGTCCTTTGCCCTTTGCCCTTTGCCCTTTTCTTCTTGTTGTTAACGGATTTGAAGTATGAACACTTTAACCGTCATCCTTGGTATCTAAGATGCCAGACCCCTTAACATCAACAATTTCTGTCTTGAGTTACATCATCTTTGGTTTGTAGCCTAATTTTTTTCACCGAAATGCTGTCCTATAGATTGAAGAAACTCAATTCTAAAAGACATGAACTGTGAAAGTCATTGATGTGATATTAAAGTAGTCTTATCTTGGAATTGCGTTTAAAGTGGACATAGAAACAGCTCAATTTACCACCATAACAAAGAGCCTTCGGTTCTGCTTTCCCAAATGCTGCATAAAAGAATACGGTACTGCATCCTAGGCCTTTCTACCCCTGTAGATGTTTCCCCCTCTCCAGCTATAAAATGAGTCAAAATACTGATCTGGAAACACCCATGAGAGCTCAGACAGCATGAAGCCATAAGAACACACCTTTCCAGCCACCTTGCAATTAGTGAGAAGATGATCAGCCAATTCCATCCTCTTTGCACATATAGCACCAATTGGGAATAAATGTACTCCACTGTCAATTTGTCAAGCATCAGAATCTTCTCATGGGCTGCTGACCACCCAAAGATGTCACTTTGTAAGGGAAAGTATTTTTATTTTATTTCTTATATATATTTATATATATATAAACTGATGGGTTATGTGGGGTTGGGTTTGGATTGATATAATTTTAACTGGCTTGAGTTTTTGGAATTTAGGCTTCGGAATCGAAAAAAAAAAAAGGTCGGGTATTGGATGGAGGTAATGTGTGTTAAATTATGAGAACGACCTGTTCCGAACCCGACTTACCATAATTCATTGCCATCCCTACACTTCTGCACATGTCAGTGACTCAGTGAATCTCCTTTGTCGAAAGATGAACTCAATGAGATTATAAAGAGGTGCAAGAGAGGCCTTAATTTGTTGATGTGATTTCTTCCTGTTAAATACTACTATTGTTGTTGTTGTTGTTGTTGTTACTAAATTTTCATAATATTGTAATGGAATGCAATGCCATTCCTGACCTCATGGAGTCATTGGGAGGAACAAGCATTCTAATTTTTTCAAGGATAGCCTTTTAAATGAAATTGACACGGTCAAACAGTAAAAAATGAATGGAGAGCTGGAATTGCATTTTATTCCATTCCGTTATTATAAAACAACCATGGCCTTCTTGTTTTTCAATAATGTCCTGCAACCATGGTATCTAAATGCTTATTTTTTTCTCATACCAATCTTACATATAATGAATGAGGGATTTGGATGCTTACTGGAATAATCGACACAAGAATCTGTCTAATTTTGTGGTTAATTTTCAGGCTGAAGGGGCTCAAGAAATGGCAGGTGCTGTCCCGGCTGTGGAACAAAGGGAGGAACTGTATGATCCCTTGGCTACACCAGATGTTGACAAGTAAATCTCGTCTCTTTTCCGACTATGTTAACACTCGACAAGCCATATTTTTCTACATTATCACTGAGTATGTTTGATTTTGATCCATAGGTTAAATGCCACTTACCTTGCCGTCCATAGAAGTGCCATTTTGGGCCGGCCCTTGTGGCGGACAACCTCATCGCTCTCACAGCAAACTTAGGTTCTTATGGCAGTACTATTTTGTGTACTGGTTTCTGATATTTTTTCGGTGTTTGATGCTGTTAGTGGCAAGAAAATTAATCAATTATATGCCCAACCTTATGTATAGAGCTTTAGATTATGTAGTGTTCTACACCAGCGCTGTCTTTGATGGATTTAACTTTTTCTTGCTGTGGCAGTCAACGTATGTAACCAGATCTGTTCAAATTATTCAGTTGGATTCGTAGTGGAAATTTTAGAAGGCTTTAGTTCTACCATGTAATGTGCTAATTACATTTTTATCGTGCGATACATAGTAGGAAAAAAAAATGCTTGCTTGTAGTTTATTCAAAGGAGGCCATATCTGAGATGCATTGTTTTTATACATTTACATTTTGGAATTCAAATTTTAGTTGCCATCTTCAATCTCTGTGCCTGGGTTTCTTAATAAAACTTATTGCTACTTCTGTTTGCAATTCTTTAGGAGAGTTTAACGGCGCTTATAATGGTCCTACTATATACAGCATCTTACCACTGTCTGAATTCTAGGTATCATACAAGGTGAGGGCTTTGGTTCTGAATTGGATAAATCTTTGAGGATATTAATTGTTTAGCTGTGTGGGGATTGTCGCAAATGAAAGACCTTAGATCCAGAGTTTCCCTTTGGATTTAAGGTTTGGTCGTATTTTGATTAGTGGAGATGATGTTATAATCGAGCTTAATTTCATGTTCTAAGTCACGGGAGTGGGAGTGAGAGTGCGAAAGCGGTAAAATTTAAGTCACACAAAATGGGAATGGGAGTAAGAGCGCGTGCGGAGAGTAGGAGCTACTTAAAGCGTGAGAGTAGGAGCATGCTTAAAGCGTGAGAGCGACACCCATTGTAAATGATTGTGTGAATTAGTTCATGTTCGTGTTCGATTGAGTTCGTTTCCTTGACGTTACCAATGGTTTATTTACAAAGCTCTACTTATCAATCTCTTTAGTATATATCCCCCTTCTACAAAGCTTTACTTATCAATCTCATTAGTATGTATCCCCCCTCTATGAAACTTGCACTAGATGTATAACAATCTCGTAAATAAATCCTCGAGAAAACACAAAGAAACAATGAGCGTATAACACAAGTTTTTAAAAGTGAGCCTACACGATTTCATGTTTATAAAAGTGAGCCTACATTAGTTCAAGTTCACTGGTCTATAGGTAGAGTTCAACACTGTTTTGGATTGGCTCGCTTATTAAAGGAACCTAGAAGTCAAGTTCCAACCTTTGAGAGTTAAGTCCTAACTGAACAACTCAATTCATTTGTAAATTTGCATGTTTAGAATATTTTTGTCAATGGAGAAGCATAGATTTAGGTCATTTTGCAATTAGGGATTTTACATGCATGTTGAGAATATTTTTGTCAATGGACAAGCACAGTGACATTTAGGTCATTTTGCAATTAGGGCTCCAAGGTCAGTTTTTGAAAGAACCGTGAAAAATGAAATTTCACAATTTCATAGTGGCTTTCACAGGTTGCATGATTTATGCAGTTTTCATCTGCGATCTACTAATTTGACGATATTGAGGCCAAAGTGCCAATATCTTAAGGCTTCGTTTGAATTGATGGAATTGGAGGGGGAAAAAATTGTAAAAGAATGGAAGGGGTTGTGATTTTCATGTTTGATTTATTAAGGAGGGCAAAGAAAGAATTTGGGAAAATCAAATATCTCTTTTGCTATCTTCCTAAAGTGAAAATATTTGGAAAGAAAGGATAAATATAAGGTACACTTTCATAATATCAAAAATAACTTTAAGATTATTAACCCATAAAAGATTTCCTGGGACGAACTGTAAACTCGGACGTCTTAGGTTCAATTTTCATAAAGCGCAAAAACGCTTGAGTTTAAATGATATGTTTAATTTACGAGTGATTGCACATAGCAAAAAATCTTAACATTTTAATAAAAAAAAGTTCAAAATGACATTTGAGTCCCACCTTAACATTAGGGTATGTTACTAAATTGGTTAGAATAATTTATTTCTCTCTCATTTACCTTTTCTAAACAAGAATGTTACCGACAGAAAAAAAAAAATAAATAAATAAAAATAAATAAATAAAATTGGAAGAATCAGATTCCAATTGAACAAATTCAAACTCGAAAATAATATTTCTGATTCTGGTAGTTTTCTATAAAGTACAAGTTAAACATCTAGTTTCCTTTTCAACTCATGAAGTCATGTTAGGTCTAGGGAGGGATGAATGAAAACATGACTTGAGTTTAGAACCAGACATCCCTATCCCTAATCCATCAAGGAAAAATCCTTGAAAGAATTACAAAGAGTAATACTTTTCAGTTTATACAACCACCAAGCCCCATAAATGAACAAACCTACTATATTTCGATTCACAATAATCTCTTACTTTGAAATCCATTTCTTACATATATATATATATAGTAGTGTGTGTGTGTGTGTGTGTGTGTGTGTGTATATATATATATAAAGGCATGTTTGTTACGAGTAGTTTGCTGAAACAGTTTTTATAAACTTATTTTTTTTATAAGGGGGCTCAGTTTTCAAATAACATTTTAGAATATCATCAACAAACTTGCTTTTAAACCATATTCAGTTAATAGTTTTCTGAGATCAAAAACCCCTTCTTTGAAAACAATATCAAGCAGACATATGTTTCTTGAAACTGTATTAGTTTATCTAACACGCCTTAATTCAATATTTTAGTGTCCCAACTTAACTCAATACAGATGGCTGACTCCATATTAATCTAAGACCTTTATGAATCCAACATTTCACTCAAAGAATAATGAAGCCAAAAAAATAAAGAACTTGTATAAATTTAGTCAACGATTGATAATCCAATATAATTTACCAAAACAAAAATGCTTCAATTTAGTCTCGATAGCATTATTCTCCAATAAGTAAAACTGAAAAGCCTCAAATAAGAATACAGTGTTGCTCAAGTTGAAAATTCAACAAACACAAAGAACAGTGTAGAATTTGTGAAGGTAAAAGATCAGAATAAGAATCAATTGCCATGGATGAAGTATTGCATGTTGTTTCCATGAATGTTGACTCACAAATACTTAGCTAACCAAGGTAGCTCCTTGCTGTCTTTCAGTGCAAAAGCCACATCATCACTGCCACAAAGAAGCGTAAAAATCATACTGACATACTTTCTTGATGCTAATGAAATTTCAATAGAGGTTACCAATTTATGCGATTCAAATAAGGGCCTTCAAACAGGAGAATTTTAAGTTATATAGAAATTGAAACTGGTAGTATTCGATATTCATATATAAAGCAGATTATTCGGATGAGAAAAGTAGTGGTAATTATATGATCCGAAAATGAAAGCTGAGAATGAAGGCCACCTGATTCCCAACAAGAATTCTACCTGGGATCTGTTAACATAGCATTGCTTTACATTAAAAATGGTTGGTGCATTATGGCAGTAGCATCAATGGTAGTATCTACGTTGTTCTTTTATACTCGTATATTTTTAGTGTAGATGGCATCCAACAAATTGCTTGAATTCTGACACAATGAAAGGGATTCACCTTGGTCAGCTGTAAGATGCAAAACATTGCATCTAGGGTGCGACAAGGGCATTTTTTTTGTCTTTCTTACCCATCCAATCAAAATTTCTAATTCAAGGGTGTGGGCCGTCAACCAAACCATCTAATTAATGCCCTAGAAATTGTTGGCAGCCTTGAATGAACTCCAATCTGTTCATAATGAACCCATTGGACTACAAGCACAATGGTGAACATAGTGATAACCTAACCTAACTTGAAATATTGGGTTTGGTAAGATATTCAGGTTAGTGAGTTCTCAAAAAAAAAAGCTCAGGGTTCTTTGACCTGCATAATCACTGTCAGACCTCCATAATAACCCCTGTTTGTACACAGCTATGTAAATATAACTAGAACAAATGGAGGCAACAATAGTTGGGTCTGACTTATGAGATCTTCATCTCATAAGATTGTAGAAGGATCAAGAAAATTGTACAATGTAAAATTATTATTGTAGATGGTCTTCTTTTATTATTGGGGGCAAAAGGCATCAAAAATAATGTACGTTTAGTAAGGTATCAAATCTTATTGTCCAACACCAATGACCTTGTACTGTATGTCTACAGTAGCTCATGTTTCTGGATCCAAGAAACACTTGATATTTCCTTCAGTAGGAAAGAAAAAATTTGGATGGAAGGGAGAAAAAAAAGGATGGATGAGACATCCCTAGAGAAGAGATTGTGTCCTTCCCTCATTTTGTTCGGTACTAAGTTAGGGGAGAAGGGAAGAGACAATTTTAAATTGTTTTTACCATTATACCCATCACTATTTAAAATATTGTAATTTATAGAAGATAGTACGGTAATTTAAACCTTATATAATTTAGGATGGTATTGAAATTTAAAACTTTTATAATAGCCCCACTTGTCTTCCCTCCTCTCTTCCGCCCATATTTGCAGGGATAAAAATTTGTAAAGGAAGAAGGATGATTCATCCCTCCTATTATCGTTTCTCTCCTTGCCTTCTCTCTACCGAACGAAGGAAATTTGTTCCTTCCTTCCTATCTTCCCTCCACACCTCTTCCTTCCTTCTAGCATTACATCATTTTTTCTTTTCCTTTTAGGTTCAAATGCATGACACTAACTTCTGTTAATGCAGGACCTGATTTTATAACAGTATTATCATGTTAAGGGAACTAGCATAGACCAGGTCAACAAGATCAAGTCAATTGTGACCAAAGGCTAAGGGAACTGACCTTGGGAAGTTGAGTTGCAACTTTTGCAATCTGTGCCTTGCTCCTGATTCACATAGAATGATTCTGCATTCACCAAGCTTACAGCTGCCAGAAAAAGAAGGTCAAAGAAAGAAGCATTTAGATCGTAGTATGAATACGGACATGGATAATGATATGACACAACACAGATGTTGACACAAAAAACTTTTAAAAAGTAGGACATAGATATGTCAAGGTCACAACAACAAACATTATATAGTAAGTTATATCATATAAGACATAAATATGGCTGTAACATGATAATTTTAACTTATGAATCAAATAATTATGATCATAAATGTGCACAGATTATGACATAATAAGGACATGAGTATATGCATTTTTTGTGTATGTTAATTTGATGACTTTTGCCCTTCAATGAAATCTTCCTATATATTTTGTTTTACAAATATGGTCAAGTTTAATAAATTTTATAAAAATCTTTAATTTGAATTTTCTTATAAGTAGATTTATTATTCATGAAATCCTTATCAAACATTCAAAAGATTTATTGGTCACATGTTTTCACATCTCCAATTAGTATCACACGTGTCTGAAGTCAAAAGTTTTATTTTTAATTATGGAGATGTCCAAGATTTTTACAATGCTCTGATTGAAGCCTGATCTGACGCAACTGAAAATTAGGCCCATTGACAACCATATTTATGTCCCTCAAAGAACCCTTTTGAGAGAATACCCCAAATTAATGAACAGGGAAAAGTGAAGCCTAAATTTATTGTAACTGCAAGAAAACAATACAATGAATGACGTACCCAATTTTCAAGAGTGTATCCCATCCAGGAAAAGCTTCTTTATTGCTCGTACAGAGACATGAAATAGTCATCGCCAACTGCATTAAAAAAATAAATAAATAAATAAAAAATAAAAAATAAAAAAGCCTCTTGGGAAAAACATCCATACAAGCATCCTAACCACATTTCCATAATTACAAACACTTGAAATTCCTATCATACGAAACAAATCAATAAAATGAACATTGCTATAAAAAATTATGCCTTAGCTTCAACTTAAGCTGTGGTTTATATGTACATCAGTCTATATGCAAAGCAACATGCATAAATTCAAACCATTGGAGCTCCAAGCATTCATCAGAGATTTCCAGCATCAGTGGTATCTAATATGCACTTTATGGAGAAACTTGGGTTTGAAACGTGGTCACTATGAAGGTAAAGTGTATCCCCTGATTTTAAACCCAAAAATATACAAAACCAATCAAAGGCTAAGCGACTAATTTTTTTATTTCAAATGTTCAAGCAAACACATACTCCCTGTATATATTTTTGCCCCCACCGGGGCTCGAGTACTCAACCTTTCCAAAGGGGGAGGAGAGCTTATACCATCTAGGCCAAAGCCCATTGGTAACTATTTTTCTATGGGTAAATTCCACTCACGTCCCTTGAGGTTTGTCAATATCCGACATAGACCTCCTCTACGTTTCATAATCCCACTTACCTCCTCTGAGATTGTGGTTTATGTAAAAGATTCCCTCCTGCCGTTAGGGCACCTAGCAGAGACAAACCTTAGGGAGGTAAGTGGGATTATGAAAATGGATAGCATGTCAATTTTGCCTTTCTAATGTCTGAAATGACATCTTTCATCTCATGCAATTCATGGGCAAAACAGTAAAATAACACACTACCGTTACCAAGTTGGATGGCCATCACTAACAAGGGAGGTAAGTGGGATTATGAAATGTAGAACGGGTCTACGTGGAATATTGAGAAATCTCAGGGGAGGTAAGTGGAATTTACCCTTTTTTTATTGACTCCCGAAGAAGCAGTTCACCAGGAGAAATACATTTTGGCTGTCCAGATCAAGGATTCTAGCATAGCCTAGCTCATGACTAGCCGGAAAACGTGGAAGCAACCCTCCAAAAGAAAAAAGAAAAGAAACAAAAACTTTATCTACCAATCGGAAGGGGAGTGAAGAAAATTGAAGGAAGAAGAAAGAAAAAGAAAAGAGCTCCAGGTATTCCACTAGTTGGTATACATTTTTTTTCCATAGGTCACTAGTTAGTTTATACAGTAATGTGGGTTAAAGAAGATTCCTACTCAAACTAACGCCTTGAAATTCTAATAGAGAAACAAATGTAGATGATACCGGAGGGGCTCGAAATATGGCAGAAGCTTCAGGTAAGGCTCAGAAAGTTGACCTTTTCGAAGGTGGTTTCACCCATTCCTGTTTTATAAAGCTCGTGCACCATAGCCGCCAAGAAGATCTTACTCAGTTTGGAGCAACTCCTCATTACCTGGAAGAAGAAAGAATAAGCATTATTATAATTGTTAAAAAGTAGGAATTGTGGCATTTCTGCAAAGATAATATAAGTTAATAAATAACACGTTATGCTGTAGCAGAAAGAAATTTTGAAAACAGTGTCAATGGCAACTTTGGTAATCTGACAGGTTGAGTCCCCCTTGAATATGGATGTTATATTTGTTATTTATGATAAATAAATATATATATATATATATATATATATATGATGGCCTTTTGTTCTCTCTTAATTTGTTAACCTTTTCTTTTTCCTTTTTCTTCTTTTAGGTAATTATAATTGTAATACTTTCAAAGGAACATTTGGACATGAAACTCCATGTGGTTCTTGAAGAAGTAGGCCAAGGAAATGGATCCAGAAAAACCCATCATGTCTATGGCAGCAGAAAATTAATGTTTAATAGACATCAAACTCTATATTTTCCGGGGGAATTTTTTTTTGAAGAAACAGAATTTATAATTGACACTTCGTTATGTCAGTTTATGACTCACTTGAATATGAGGAGCCTGGAACATCTCCTGAATGGCTGCTTCAACCTCTGCCATACCAACAAGGGATTTTCCTGTAAAGCAATAAAATCAAGATCCATTAAGAAAAGAGCAAATTTAAGACGTGATACTTCTTGATGAAGAAAATGCTTAGTTTGGAAGCTAGTATTTCTACCCGCGGCAGAATAAAGCTTCTGAATATATGAAGAAAAAAAAGAGACATACAGTTAGAATAGAAGTATAGCAACTAGAGAGGATAAGCACTAAAATATTCCTATATATCACTAAAATATTATATCTATCAAGCATCAACTTGTATTTATGGTCTTGATGCCTAAAAGCTTCTCTAATAGATGCCAATCCAACTCTAGAATCATTAGTTGGTAATTTAGTATAATCTCAGTTTTTTATTACATGAGTTGAGTACAAAATAAAACAGTAGATTGGAACTATAAAAATCATGCTTACAAGCTGTTTTAGCAACATTGGAGAGAGAGAGAGAGAGAGAGAGAGAATATATATGAAAACGTATATCTCATTGACTAAGTAATACAATAATACAATGGTGTTTATATAGGAGAAACTACGGGAGTAGATGAGTGGAGAACAAGTATAAACCCTATACATGGTAATTCTATATATGGTAATGAGGGGTAGGTGACAACTCATACAATACCAATTATACACGTGTGATAACTCATACAATACTGTACAACGTGACAACTAATACTGGAATTTTGTATGTCTGATAGAGATAGAGATAGAGATAGAGAGAGAGAGGAATGTTAATCGGAGGCGAAGCTCTCTGCACTTCATTATTTTATTAACCCTAAAACATAAGAGGGTATTAATACAAAACAAGAAAGGCCTATTTACATAATGGCCACAAACCCTATATCTAATTACAATAGGACCCCAGCATAAATACATATATACATGTAAGTGTTCTAACACTTCCCCTCAAGCTGGAGAATATATATCATATAATCCCAGCTTGGAACAAATCGTTTTTAATCGATTATAACCAAGAGCCTTAGTAAACATATCAGCTAATTGATCTTCAGACTTCACGAATGGGGTAGAAATGTTCCCACTCACTATTTTCTCTCGAGTGAAGTGACAATCTACTTCAATGTGCTTGGTTCTTTCATGAAATACCGGATTAGATGCAATGTGAATAGCTGCTTGGTTATCACAGAAAAATGGAATAGGAGTCTTGACTATTAACCCAAATTCTTCAAGAAAATGTTGTATCCACATTAACTCACTATAGGCCATCGCCTTGTACTCTGCTTCAGCGCTAGACCGTGCTACAACCGTTTGCTTTTTACTTTTCCATGTAACAAGATTTCCACCAACAAATGTACAATAGCCTGTAGTAGATGAGGGAGAACCAGCCCAATCAACATCTGTGAAACCTGTCACACTGAGATGACCATTAGATTTATATAGTAATCCAAAACCTGGAGCTTGCTTAAGATATCGAATAATTCGAAGAATAGTATTCCAATGTGGTACTCTAGGATCACTCATGAACTGACTTACAACACTAACTGCATATGAAATGTCAGGTCAGGTGATAGTGAGATAAATTAATTTCCCAACTAAACGTTGATATATGCCACGGTCATCAAATAAATCACCCTCATCAGGTAATAATTTTATATTTGGGTCCATAGGAGCATCAACAGGGCGACTACCTAACATACCTGTTTCTTTTAACAAGTCCAATGCATATTTCCTTTGAGATAGACTTATACCTTCTTTGGATCTAGCAACCTCAATACCCTAGAAATATTTGAGTTTGCCTAGATCCTTCGTGTGAAACCGATTCTATAAGAACAATTTTAACTTTGCAATGCCGTCAGAATTATCACCTGTTACAACAATATCATCTACATATACCACAAGAAATATAAAGCCAGTTTTAGTATGCTGGTAAAATACCGAGTGATCTGTCTGGCATCTGTTAAGGCCAAAGGAAAGTACCGCCTCGGAGAATTTTCCAAACCAAGCCCTTGGAGATTGTTTCAATCTGTACAGGCCCTTTTTAAGACGACATACAGCATAACGAGACTCCCCCTGAGCAACAAATCTAGGTGGTTGCTCCATGCAGGGGCGGAGCCAGGATTTTAGTTTAGGAGGGGCACAATGTTAAGAAAAAAAACTTATTTAAAGGAGTAGAAAGGAAAAAAGATATATTATTTAAATTAGTAGAAGGAAAAAAAAAAAAAAAAAAAAAAAAAATGACAACTTAAAAAGGAAATAATTAAAAAAAAAAATTTAAAGGAATTTGAATTGTAAATTAGGAAAAAAAGTAAAAAAATAAGAGATAATTTTAAAAACTAATAATTTGAGGGGGGGCATTATATAAAAAATTCTATATATACACATATAAAATATAAAAAAATTTCTATATCTATAGTGGGCGGGTCCAGGCCAGAGGGGGCACGTGCCCCCCCTGGGCATATACTGGCTCCGCCCCTGGCTCCATGTAAACCTCTTCATGTAAGTCACGATGTAAGAAGGAATTTTTCACATCTAATTGAAATAACGGCCAATTACAATTGGCGGCAATGGAAATAAGGATTCGAATAGAAGAAATCTTCGCAACAAGAGAAAAAGTCTCATCATAATCAATACCATAGGTTTGGGTGTATCCCTTTGCAACAAGGCGAGCCATCAATCTCTCAACAAACCCTTCATGGAGATATTTGACAGTGTAGACCCACTTACAACGAACCGTTTTGGAACCGGGAGGTAAGGGAACAAGATCCCAAGTTCCATTATGATGAAGAGCATCCATTTCATTTATCATGGCTTTGCGCCAATTTATATCAAACAGAACATCCTGCACAGTCTTCGGAACAGCAGTAGCAGATAACGTGGATAAAAAACAAGAAAATGAGGGCGATACATTGTTATAGGAAACAAAGTTAGATATGGGGTGTGCAATGACACAAGAGCGAATACCTTTACGTAACGCAATAGAAAGATCATCAGTAGTAGTAGGAGCCTCAATGGAAGTAGACAATTGGGGGGGGGGGGGGGGGGGGGGGCGGCACTTGAGGTGGTTCTAGTGGGTCACAGGGTAATGAATGTGACATAATAGGCAGCGGAAGCAGCAGCTTGGTATTTAAAGACGAATCATATGAAGAAAAATAAGGAGTATCCTCAAAAAAGGTAACGTCGATGCACACAAGAGCACGATGAGTGCAAGGATCCCAAAATTTATAACCTTTTTGAGTCCGAGAGTACCCAATAAAGACACACTTAATGGCACGAGGAGACAATTTATCAGCGCCGGGACGTAATATGTGAGCAAAACACACACACCCAAAAACACGAGGCGGTAACGCAAATAATGGCCGAGTAGGAAAAACAAAGGAAAAAGGACATTTCCAATTAAGAACGGAAGATGGCATACGATTAATTAAATAACAAGCGGTTAAAATAGCATCGCCCCAAAATGCTTTTGGAAGATGCATATGTATCATCAATGTTCGAGCTATTTCAATTAAATGCCTATTTTTCCGTTCGGCTACGCCATTTTGTTAAGGAGTATAAGAACAAGAAGTTTGGTGCAAAATACCACGGGAGTCGCAAAAACTAGAAAATAGCACCTTTGACATATTCCATAGCATTATCAGATTGTAAAGTGCGTATAACACAACCAAATTGGAGCTCAATTTCTTTTAAAAATATTTGAAATATAGAAAAAAAGGTCAGAACGGTCTTTCATTAAAAACAACCAAGTCATCCTTGAAAAATCATCAGCAAAGGTAACAAAATAAGAAAAACCTGAATGACTAGTGTGACAAGCAGGACCCCAAATGTCCGTATGCACTAATTCAAATAAAGAAGATCGACAACTAACAATACGAGGAGGGAAAGGCACTCTATGGTGCTTACCCAGCTAACAAGACTCACAATTTAAAGTAGACACCGACTCAAGGAAAGGTAAAGCAGACTTCAAATACCGCAACAAGGGATGACCTAACCGATAATGCCGCTGGTGTACAGACATCTGGGAATGTAAAGCAACAGTTGAAGGTTTGCAATCCAAATAGTATAGGCCATTTCTGTTAGTGCCCCCACCAATAGTCTTTTTCATGTTGAGGTCCTGAAAGACACAAAACGAAGGATAAATGTGACAAAACAATTGAGTGCTTGAATCAATTGACTTATAATTGCGCAAAATTAACCACATCATTAGAGTTGGGATGTGTCCTGTTGACCAAGGCATTGAACTCAGCTCGTGATAATGATAGTGTCACGCTGTCAGTAGTAGATACAACTAATGGTAATATAGAAGTCTGACTAAGAGAGGGATGAGACCCATCAAGGTCAGAGGAATGCTTGATTTGCCTATGCTGGTTTCCCATGAAAAGCCCAACAGTTCTCAACAGAATGGTTAGTACCCCGACAGTGGCTGTAGAAGCGAATATCAGTACATCCACGACCACGGCAATTGCGACCTCTATCACGGCCACTACCGCCAAGAGAACTACTCGAATTTCCACCATACCCTCTGTTGCCACTAGGAGTATCACGACCTCTAGAGGATTGTGGAAAGATAGAAGGAATCATCATAGCTGAATTTTCTTTCACAGTGGGCGTCACATGTGATTGTTATGAAACCCGCAGTAAGCGGGCATAAATGTTACCCAACAATGGGAGTCCTCCATCACCAGTAAGGATTTGATCCCGAATATTTTGAAGGCTCGGGTGCAAACCAACAAGAAAAATGGAAACAGAAAATTCCTCACGTTGTCACTTAAGAACCTCAGGAACAGTAGTCAAGGGATGGTACTGATTCAACTCATCTAACAAGCTTTTGAAGGTACTGTAATACTCACCGATGCCTTGACCAGAGGGGTCAAATTGACGAAAATGGAATATCTTCTCAATCATTGTATGTTGCTGATGTTTTAGATGGAGGATCGTCTGTAACAAACTTCAGCTTTCGTCGGGCGCCTAAAGAGATCTTCACTGCTTGGGCCCATAGTAAATAATTGGAGTTACTTAATTTCATCATTGTAATTTGCAGCCCGACATTATCAACATGTGTTGC